AAATTCCTACGTGACACGGACACGTAGGAATTTCAACATTTTGAACAAGCGGCTGTAATAGCAACGTCACACCACGAAAGACAAGACTGGACAATGACTGAGTGTGCGCGCGTGTGCTGCCGAATGTGCTGTGTTTGTCTCTATTCCCTCTCTGCTCTCTATCTTTCATCTCCCCCATCCCCCTCAGGTACGCAGGGTAGCCAACCGGCTGCCTATAGGCTGGTTAACCTCCCTGCCGTTCTTTTCCTCCTATCTTCCTTCCTTCCTTCAAGTGCCTGATAAAAACGAGAAAATGCACTTACTGCAGCTGCGAAGAAACCATCGCGCACCTTCTGTGTGGGTGTACCCATTTCAACGCGCAAAGACAAGAACTCCCTGCAGCTCTGGATAGACTGGACGATCAGCCTTTGTCGGAACAAAGGATTCTGGGTCATTGGCCGAGCCCTTCCTCAGCCCACAAGGCTTTGAATGCTTTGCTGCGCTGTTTGCGGACAATTGGCCTCAGAGACAGACTTTAGTGTCTTATACTCTTTGATGATGCCTTTCCTCTGTCGCAGTTTTTTTTTGTAACTTTTGTCTTTTTCTTCGCAACATCTTTTTTAACATATTTTATTCCCCTCACCCCTTTCCCCAGCACAGGGTAGCCAGGCAGTCTAAGAACTGGCTAACCTCCCTGTCTTTCCGCTTAAACTTTCTTCCTCTTCCTCCGAGAAAATGACTAGCGTCCTTCGTGGGTGGCATAAACACGAGTGATGAAAAAAAACCACCGCGGGAAGGGGGTCAACACATGACGTCATATATTGTCAGCATGTCTGATGTCAGGACGTCCTCATTGCGACATCGCATATCGTTAAATCACATGGTGACTTCATCACTCGACAATGTTACTTGGTGAAAAATGGGCTTACAATGCCTCCAATTCTGCAGTTGCTCAGAAGCCACTTTAGTTGGAGAAACCTTTCGAAGTGGTGCGCGAAAGGTTCAGTACATTGGCATAGAAGAAAAAAGATGAAGGTGTTTTTACCTCTTATCCCACGGAGACGAATTCGTGAGGAATATTGTGGGTTTCCGACTTATGAATACATCAAATGCCAAGTGTGGGTTCTCTCGTGAAAGATGTGGCTGCTAATAGTTCGTAGCGGTTTGAACCAATTACTCGAAAGTAATGGGCCCGGAATGCCTTGCGGCTTGGACGGCCACAATATCAGGCTCCGGAAACTCAGCGCTAGTTTCTGTTACAGGCAACATGTGTGCTCATAGCGGCTGTCGGCATCCTAAGATCTTCTTGGCGTATTGAAGTCAACGTGGATGTTCATAGTTATTGTCTTATACCTATTTTCACAAAACAGAGCAATTTTATGGAACTCTGAAGAACTCATCATCTCTCAATTTGTCTTTTTTTATGCCTTGTTCTGTGAATCTTGAATCGGGCGAAGCGCGGGAACGCTTCTGCATCCGCTACCCCTACCACTTGCTCGGCGATATCACATGCTGTATCGCGTTCGGTTGTCTCACTCGGTTAGCGTGCCAAGTACGAAAGCGGCAAAGATATGGCGTGACGTGAAATGAAGCCCCGGCAGGCCTGGTGAATTAGGTCAACCAAGCAATAAACGAAAAAGGCTCACTCGGGACATCACATGTTTGGCGCGGCTGTGCAGTTTGTTAACCCAGAAATTTTCAGTTCGGCGACAGTCTTCGAGGTTTCCTATTGACTGCACGCGAGCACAAGCATTCGAGTCTGTTATTTGAGCAGGTGTTCTATTGGCATGTGTGTGTGAGCAAATTCAGCTGTCTGCAAGCCTGACCGGACTAGCATGCGCGAAGTGTGGCTAGAGTAATGATTGATAACGAGAGCATGCCAGTCACTCATAGAATGTTTTAAGAAAGGCTTAAGTTCACGTTCACTTGGCTACAGAGTTTGTTCATCCTTTACTTTTGGCATGTACTTCAAACGATGTGAAGCAATGATAACCTCCTTCCTGTTCATGAAAATGCACATAGCGAGTTAGAAATTTGGTGGGTTTTTATTCTAACACTGTTAATAAAATACATTCATCGGGCTCACTGATGATTTGAGAAATAGTTGAACAGGGAATGTCACTGGCGCCACCGTTTTTACAAGTGACATTGCTTGCTCAAGGCAATGCCTTGATGAAAAGAAGTCACCTATTCGATACACATTCTCCAGTGGCATTCTCTGTTAAAAGATTCCTCATCGCTTCACGCCGCTATTTTCCCTTTAACTGCTGTCTTGCTTTGTATATACTCAATATCTGAAGGAAAATATTTTAGCTGTCATGATAAACGTGATTCAGTCAAGCACGACGCCACCTGCTGGTGAATGTTGACCACTTTTCTGTGGATTTGGATATTCTTGAACGATCGTTTGTTAACTATGTCCGTACTTCAGTTGTGAAATAAAGCTATTGACTCTTCACATTACTTGGATGTCTTCGCTTTTATTACGCCACGTGTGATTAAAAGAAAGACTAACTTCTGTGCGTTGATCGAGTCTTGTTTTATTGAGAAATCGACCAGGTTTTCTTTGCTAACATGCACAACACGCAGACAACATTTCAAAATGGGTAACTAAATTTAACGGCTGGCAGCGTTGCCCGAGCGGCCAGAGGACGTGCAAGAGAGCAAGGACAGATTCCGCTTGCATGCGAAGTGGGAAAGGAATGCTTTCGTGGCAACTCTCCTCTCAATGGTTCGCGTCCTTTCCTTCTATTTGCTGACCTCATCAGTGACGTCACGGAGGAAATGTTTTATTTACGAATTATTTATGGTAGGATACTCGGCAGCCGCCAGAGGTGGAAGCAGCGCTGCCGCAGCGTATCACCATGCGAGTGCGCGTTTCATAAAAAGTACGGGCAGATTTCACCCCCGAAAGTATTGCCGCACCCTGAAAATATTCCAAGCCATCGCTGTTATTTTGATAAGCGAAATGCTGCAGAGAACTACGGGACAATAAAGAGCCCTTTGGTGGTTTTTACGGCACTCAGTGCGATGAACAGGCTTGACTTCCGTGTGTGATAGAGCCGTGACCGTTTGAGTGTCAGTAGAGAAAGTTACCCAGAAACGAGGATTAACTAGCATTAGCAAGAAACCATAAATATAATCTTGGCACGAAATGAACTGTACCAGTCTTTCTCAAAGTGCATTCTGCAGAGAGAGCCAAGGTCTTGCGGTAAGGGACTCTCGAACAAGTTACGTGAGTGCCCTTGCTTTTATTGCTTAATTTTTTGTTTGTTCAGCTTGCTTGCGTAAGTGATCACCACTGCTGATGCAGGCATCACCGGAAGGTATTTTATTTCCTTCGGATCGTGTCTGCGAAAGGCAACCGCTGTTACAGCAAGCCTTTCGGGTATAACAGCACGAGGGTGTCCCCCATATAGCGGTCGACAGCTGCGGTAACCCGACCTCGCGGCCGATAAGAGCAACGTCTCTGCTCTGGCAGCCGCACCCGTCCATGTGAAAAGCCTAGTGAAGAAACTTGCACGGGTGGGCCGTCTTCTTGCTTTACTAAGGAGGAACCACAGAGCGCAGACGGCTGTTCTTAGTGCGATCTGTCGGTGCCATTTGCTGAAGAGAAGCATGATCGTTCCTATTCGTTTCTCCAGCGTACTGCTTGGCGAGAAGAATACTTTTAGTGAAGCAAAGTCTCTCTCATAGTATCTATCTATCTATCTATCTATCTATCTATCTATCTATCTATCTATCTATCTATCTATCTATCTATCTATCTATCTATCTATCTATCTATCTATCTATCTATCTATCTATCTATCTATCTATCTATCTATCTATCTATCTATCTATCTATCTATCTATCTATCTATCTATCTATCTATCTATCTATCTATCTATCTATCTCTCTATCTATCTTTACGAGGCATTTGACAGCGTCAATACATCGACAGGCTCATTACATTTACTTAGAAGACAAATAGGATGGATGTCTGATTGATTGATTTGTGGGGTTTAACGTCCCAAAACCACCATTTGATTATGAGAGACGCCGTAGTGGAGGGCTCCGGAAATTTTGACCACCTGGGGTTCTTTAACGTGCACCCAAATCTGAGTACACGGGCCTACAACATTTCCGCCTCCATCGGAAATGCAGCCGCCGCAGCCGGGAATCGAACCCACGACCTGCGGGTCAGCAGCCGAGTGCCTTAGCCACTAGACCACCACGGCGGGGCAAATAGGATGGATGTCTTCTTCGTCGAGCAATCTTGGGAGAAAGCATAAAGGCATCTATTGGTTTTTGAAAAATAAGTTTAATCGCTGACTCTATAAACTCTGTCTAACTTCAAGTTTAGGCAAATACGCTCTTTCATATCACATTTTGCATGCTATGATGTGGTTAAACTTTTCTCTCTTGTAGCAGTACTTTCTAGGTAACAACGTCCGCGAACACTCTGACTTGGCGCCCTGTATTGGAGGTTTCATTCAACAATAAAGTTTTCAAGGTTGAACGAATAAAATTACGTTGTTTCTCCCTCTCCGCACCAATTAAGCCTTAAATTACTTGGACAGCTTTAAGCTAGCAGCTTTACTTATTTCGAAATTCCATCGCTGACGATGTTCGGGGCCGTGATGGAAAATCACATTCTTGCTAGGGCTGCGTGAAAACAATCATCTGGGTGACATTCGTACGTTAGTGACATCCAGAGATACATTCCGGGTATGTTTTCAAACAAGCCTGGTCTTTGCGATCGTCCAAGCATATGGGCACCTGCTTTCGGGATCTGTCCTCAGTACTTTACCATTAGTACATCTTCTGTACCTGTATTCTAGCCCACCCCCAGTCAAAGGCACTGAACTGAACACAACTCGGACAAGCCGTTTCGTAAACGCTTCCACTTCTCAGAGACAGATGGTGCTGCAAAGAGCGTCGCGTATCACGGCGTCAAATCTCTCGGACCTGTTCGCTCTCCCATGACGACAGTAGTGTTCCCTCACTAAGCCAGCCTAATATGCCACAGCGACGCTGCACCCAAAGAGCAAACGCAGCCGACACATGCACGGCAAGATGCATCCGGCATGGTCGCTATTGCAACTTGTGTGTGTGGCGTGCCTACTGCGCATCTTCACTGCTGCGTCGGCTGCTCCATGTCCGCAAGGATGCCTCTGTGTCGGAACGACTGTTCGATGCATGTTCCTCAATTTGAACCACGTTCCCAGGGTTCCAGAGAACACAACCGTTCTGTAAGTTTTTACGCAACCCTGCTTCAAGATCATAAAGCATGTTTTCGATGTGGCACGAAGGCTGCAAGCTCCACCAAAGGCGACTGTGTCGTTTCCATGTTTATGATTATTAAACTTATCGCAGCCTCCTTACTTCTTTCTCTGCAGTTGCAAGTATAAGAATAAAGTTCTTTTTCACGCCTAAACTTTGATTTTCCCTGTTTCCATTCAAGTACAATTTTGGTTTAACAGAACCCTAAAAAGAAAGAGTGACTTGGTTTATATTGATGAATTGAACTCTTATAACCCTAATTCAATATGTTTCAACCATAAGTTCAATTTTAGTGGAGAAAGTCAAGGTGAAAATTTCATTTTTCAATTTCACGCTGGAGTCTCCGCGCACGACGTCGATATTCTCACAGTGTATTTTTTGTATTTTTAAGACAGTGTCATAATTAAATTATCTCAAAATTCAATGCTAGACAATTTACTTAATCTCCGGGCTTACATGCTGCGTAAGACCCAAGAGCTACCTTCAAAATCTATGGACGTCACGGTGTTCTGCGGGGAAACTAAAGTGGTGGTGTTCCACCCTTGCATTCTTTTCGGGCGTTTCTTGGCTTACCAAGCATTGTGTCGCGACAAGAGTGGCGTTTTCGGCATTGCGATCGTGTACGTTATTAATACGCAAAAATTATCTTTCTATCTCTTGTCTCTTTATTCACACTCGATAAAGATATCTAATTCAGTTACCAAGAAGTGCGTAATGTTTTGGCCCCTTTGTTTTAGAAGCTAGGAAAAAACGGAGTAAGTTAAATCCGGCGTAAGAGTTCCCAAATAGTAAGTTAGGCCTGATATCGCAAGTTTAATTCCAATAAATAGCGTAAAGTATCAGGTGCTGCTTAGAAAATTGGTTATTTGCTCAGTATAAAAATACCATGGCTATATAACCATCGTCGAGATTGGCATATATGTTTTTACCGATACATACGTTGGTTTTCCTGGAAAGCGCGAGCCTTATGTGGCAGCCTGAGATTTTAATGAATCAACCGCAACTACTTCCTAAGGCGTGAGTAATATTTATACGTAGATATTTTGAACGCTCTTCAGAAAACAATTAGTCTAGTGAATGTTCGAGAGAACAGTCATTGTGAAGATAAGTTTATAGAGTCCACAAAGAATTATAGGCAATTTTTTTCCTTCACCAAATATCGCAATAAATCATTCAGCTTCTACTGGCAAATCTCGCCTGCTGATTTCGTCACAACTTCAAATTCAGGTTTGGTTAAAATAGGCCAACAACCGCAACTGAAAAAGCGTTCCCCTTAGAGCAATGAAACCGAGCTTCTCAGTGGGCCCTTCTTTTACTCGTAGCACATGTGGATACAGCATTTAGTAGTCTGGGAGAACCTTGCGCTAATGATAAGATGCGCTGGCACGCAAAGAGCAAACGCAGCCGACACATGCACGGCAAGATGCATCCGGCATGGTCGCTATTGCAATTTGTGTGTGTAGCGTGCCTACTGCGCATCTTCACTGCTGCGTCGGCTGCTCCATGTCCGCAAGGATGCCTCTGTGTCGGAACGACCGTTCGATGCATGTTCCTCAATTTGGACCACGTTCCCAGGGTTCCAGAGAACACAACCGTTCTGTAAGTTTTTATGCGACCCTGATTCAAGATCATAAAGCATGTTTTCGATGTGGCACGAAGGCTGCAAGCTCCACCAAAGGCGACTGTGTCGTTTCCATGTTTATGATTATTAAACTTATCGCAGCCTCCTTACTTCTTTCTCTGCAGTTGCAAGTATAAGAATAAAGTTCTTTTTCACGCCTAAACTTTGATTTTCCCTGTTTCCATTCAAGTACAATTTTGGTTTAACAGAACCCTAAAAAGAAAGAGTGACTTGGTTTATATTGATGAATTGAACTCTTATAACCCTAATTCAATATGTTTCAACCATAAGTTCAATTTTAGTGGAGAAAGTCAAGGTGAAAATTTCATTTTTCAATTTCACGCTGGAGTCTCCGCGCACGACGTCGATATTCTCACAGTGTATTTTTTGTATTTTTAAGACAGTGTCATAATTAAATTATCTCAAAATTCATATGCTAGACAATTTACTTAATCTCCAGGGCTTACATGCTGCGTAAGACCCAAGAGCTACCTTCAAAATCTATGACGTCACGGTGTTCTGCGGGGAAACTAAAGGTGGTGTTTCCACCCTTGCATTCTTTTCGGGCGTTTCTTGGCTTACCAAGCATTGTGTCGCGACAAGAGTGGCGTTTTCGGCATTGCGATATTGTACGTTATTAATACGCAAAAATTATCTTTCTATCTCTTGTCTCTTTATTCACACTCGATAAAGATATCTAATTCAGTTACCAAGAAGTGCGTAATGTTTTGGCCCCTTTGTTTTTTAGAAGCTAGGAAAAAACGGAGTAAGTTAAATCCGGCGTAAGAGTTCCCAAATATGTAGTTAGGCCTGATATCGCAAGTTTAATTCCAATAAATAGCGTAAAGTATCAGGTGCTGCTTAGAAAATTGGTTATTTGCTCAGTATAAAAATACCATGGCTATATAACCATCGTCGAGATTGGCATATATGTTTTTACCGATACATACGTTGGTTTTCCTGGAAAGCGCGAGCCTTATGTGGCAGCCTGAGATTTTAATGAATCAACCGCAACTACTTCCTAAGGCGTGAGTAATATTATACGTAGATATTTGAACGCTCTTCAGAAAACAATTAGTCTAGTGAATGTTCGAGAGAACAGTCATTGTGAAGATAAGTTTATAGAGTCCACAAAGAATTATAGGCAATTTTTTTCCTTCACCAAATATCGCAATAAATCATTCAGCTTCTACTGGCAAATCTCGCCTGCTGATTTCGTCACAACTTCAAATTCAGGTTTGGTTAAAATAGGCCAACAACCGCAACTGAAAAAGCGTTCCCCTTAGAGCAATGAAACCGAGCTTCTCAGTGGGCCCTTCTTTTACTCGTAGCACATGTGGATACAGCATTTAGTAGTCTGGGAGAACCTTGCGCTAATGATAAGATGCGCTGGCACGCAACTTTGGAGTTACATACACTTACGCGAGTAATGTGAATCACTCTGCACAGCCTCACGCGAACGCGTGCTGCGCTGACCGATAAGATGGTCCGACTGCCAAGGCGGAGCTGTTACACCGCGTTCAGTGAAGAACAGTTTCGCATTACGCAGTAGTAACTCGGCACGTGTCCGTATACGTCATCATGCGACGTTTTTGATGACGTTCTTGAATGCTTGAACGCTAGCGAGAGAAAGTCAAAAGTTGGTTAGGCCGTTAGCATGTGAACGGTGACTTGAACCACCTTCAACAAGTAATCTCCTGCAAACGTCAAACATACTCTTCAAAATACTCGTTTCGCACTCGCACAGATATGCAAGTGCTTATCGTGGGTAATCGTATATACTATGAAGTCTTGGTTTGGAAACCTTTATTAGGCCCGAGGAACCGGCAGCCGACAGCTGAGATGAACGAACCAAGATGATGATACGTGACAACGATGAGGATGCATGAGCAACACATGATAATGATGCTAATGTACAGATGAAGAGGATTGGTATACTAAATGCCCACACTGATTCCCCCCACGTGAAAGCGCCAGCCTGGCCGCGGCAAGTCAAGGGGACAAAGAACGTCGCATGAAGGGCTTCATACGGGAGACATGGACGACCTCAGTAGTTCGATAACGGTGATCTGCTGGAGCTACAAGTGGCGTCACGCGATAATTCACCGGTGAAGTTTCTTCAAGAACTGTGTACGGCTCAATAAATTGTGGCTGGAACTTGTCGCACAAACCAGGTGTGCGAATAGGCGTCAAAAGAAGCACTTCGTCTCCAGGTTGAAAGGATACAGCATGATGCGATTCATCATAAACCAGCTTTCTGTCTTGCTGACGGGCTTCATTGTTTATACGGGGCACGTTGGCGGCTCTCTGCGAGCCGCAAAACGTATTCCTCTGAAGACGATGGAGATGAATCCACATGGCAGGTAAAGAAACAGACGTCCAGGAGAGAAGTAGGGGAGCGTCCATAAACTAGGTAAAATGGTGAGTAGCCGGTTGTCCACTGAATAGCCGTATTGTAGGTGAAAGTGACGAATGGTAGGACTACATCCCAGTTCTTGTGGTCTGGTTGAATGTAGGCGGCGATCATGTCAGCAAGAGTGCGGTGGAATCGCTCAGTGAGGTCGTTAGTTTGGGGATGATAACTAGAGGCAGTCTTGTGAGTTGTGCCAGAGGCGCGAAGAAGTTCGTTCACTAGTTGTGAAAGGAAGGCCCTTCCACGGTCGCTGAGCAATACACGTGGAGCACCATGACGCAGTATAACGGCTCGGAGGATGAAATCGGCAATTTCAGAAGCTGAACCGGTAGTGACGGATGCCGTCTCGGCGTAGCGCGTCAAATGGTCAACGGCTGTTACTATCCATCGGTTTCCAGCAGCACTGACTGAAAAGGGGCCATAAATATCGATGCCTACAGCTTCGAATAGTGTGTCTGGGCACGGAAGAGGCTGTAGTGTACCGGCTGGAGCAGATGTGGGTAGTTTTCTACATTGGCAGGTAGTGCAGGACCTAACGTACCGAGCTGCACTAGTGGTAATACCTGGCCAATAAAACCGACTTCGAAGGCGATCGTAGGTTTTGTGGTAACCAAGGTGACCTGCCGTCGGATGGTCATGAAGTGCTCTGAGGACTTCGGACCGAAGCGATCGGCGTAGAACGGGAACCCAGCGCTGACCGTCAGGATGGTAAATTTTGCGGTACAGGACCGAGTTGTCCAGCTTAAACTGCGAGAGTTGGCGACGGAGCCTCGCATTAGGTGGACGGTAACTGCCAGTGAGGTAGCCTATAATACGTCGACAGTATGGGTCAGCCAGCTGTCGAGAAGAAAAATCGTGCGGGTCGTCCGAAGGCAGCTGGTCCATAGAGGCGAGAGAGGAAACCGCCGTAGACCTGGACTCCGAGGGTGTGTTGT